ATGTGTTGTTGCAGCTTTGGATCGTCCGGTACATTTCGGCAAATCGGTGCAAGGTTCGGCGCAGTTTGTTCTTGTTCCTCATCGAACACGAAAAGTCTCGATAACGTATCCAGCACTACATGCAACTTCCCGGTTTGTGTTTTACCGTGAAATCGAAGGATTGCAGTGCAATTGCCCATCGAGTGAGCATATTTGACGTGTCTGGCATCGTATAAAGATATCGCAATGCCGCATGATCAGTTACGCACGTAAAATGTCTACCCCATAAATAAGGACGCCAGTGTTGAATTGCTAGCACAACAGCATAGCATTCCTTCATGGTGGCAGAGTAGTGTTTTTGTTGAATCGCTGGCTAAAGTATGCTACGATATTCACGTCATCGCCATTCTGTTGTGCCAGGAATACTCCTTCTCCCAGTTCAGATGCGTCTACGTGGAAAATAAACTCTTTAGAGAAGTCCGGAAATTGCAAAACAGGAGCGTTGGTGAGTAATCGTTTCACTTCGGCAAATGCTTCATCGTGTTTCGGACCCCAGCGTTTCGCTACCGACTTCACTGCGTCTTTCTTCGTAAGGTCGACCATTGGTGCGGTGACGGCGGCTAAGTCTGGGATGAATTTCCTGACATAGTTGACCGTTCCTAGGACCGATCGCAAACTTTTGATGTTTGTTTGTTGGCGTTGGCAACTCTAGTATCGACTTTATCCGACCTTCACCTGAACGTATGCCATCTGCGGAAAGAATATGCCCCAAATACGTCACTTCCTTTGGCCCGAATTTTACCTTTGATGGTTTTCATGTAAGACCTGCGGCTTGTAGCGCTTGAAAGGTATGTTCCAAAAGAGAGATATGACCCTCCCATGTAGATCAACAACAAATAAGATCATCCATGTACACGAGAAGACCAGATTTTGGACCGAAATGTGCGAAAGTCAATGCCATCGTACGTTGAAACAGCAAAGGCGCATTGGCGATGCCAAAGGGGAGTCGTTCAAAAACCCATTTTCCGTTCCGAGTAACGAATGCAGTCTTGTCTTGTTCTGCTTCGGCAATTGGTATTTGGTGGTATGCACTTTGTACATCGCAGACTGTGATGATCTTATTTAGCACCTGCTACTGTGTCAATATGACTTGCCATCTGAGGCATTGGCCACGATTTACGATATAAATTCTTGTTGATCGTCGCTCTGTAATCTACACAGAATCGGGGGCTGCCGTCAGCTTTTGCTACCAACGTTACTGCTGACCCCCATGGGCTTGCTCTTTGTTTGATTATCCCGGCTTTTTCCATTTCACCAACACAATTGTCAATAACCTCTTGCATTCGTGGATTTGCACGATATGGAGCTCTGTTGACTGGTTTTGTTCCTGGTTGCAATGGAAAATCAGCCTCTGTGAGAGTACATTTGCCCAGTTCTTCAGGACTCCGGGAGAATACTGAACGGTATTTGGTACACAGTGTAAGTATTTCTTCACACTGGTCGGCCAAAAAAGTTGTATCTCTGAAAGCTTTGGCTAATGCCTTCTTGAGATCTTTACGGATTTTGTCCGTTTCTTCAGGGCTCGCTTGAACGCTGCTCATTGTTTGTGGCAGTACTGTTTTCACTAGAGAAATATAGCCGATAAGTGTGTTTCTCTTCAGGGATACCGGTCTGTGAGAAGGGTTGGCCAGTTGTACCATTGCATTTTTGTTGTGCTTAGACTATACCAGTGACAGACTGTGCGTGCTACTATCACCCTACGGAATGCATCTGGTGTGTCCTGCTTGCCAACGTCCTCGGACGTAACGATGCGTGGTTCAACTACGGCAGCTGTGGTTTCATCTGGCGCCTCAAGCGAATGGATTTCGACAGCTATTTCATGTTGTGCAGGTATGCTGCATTTCCGTGTAGTGTATACAGGCACTGCAGGTGTGTCCCTCTCTACTGCTACCACAGAACAGTTCATACTGTTTTCCTCATCGGTCGTGGAATAGCGCGTTTTGCGGTGGACTGCTGAAATGTTGGTTGTTGTTGTTTTAAGCGACAATTCTTCCGCTTGCCAATCAAGAACACCACCAAATGCGCCCATTATGCTATTGTCGAGTAGCATATTATCAGGTCCCAACGACGGCAGCACTAGAGCTTTAACACGTAATGTGAGTTCTCCTAGTGTCAGTTCAAATCGATCGTACCCTGAATTGTTAGGGGCGAACGATCGGCGCTGCGCGGATTGATTGTTCCCGATGGTACTGGAAATATTTCCGTGTTTTTCAACGTTTTGTGACTTTTCATGAACTTCCGTGAAATGCATGGCATGTCACACGCCGTGTAGGTTGTTATTTCGTCAACCGATTCATTGTTTGTTCTGGCGGGTACACGTACTCGCTTGGATGTCGATCGGAATATCGATGGACACACGGGATATCCAGCGAGTGCAGACATGTAAAAAGCATGAAATTCTTCATTGTGGTCAGTTCTCATTAGGTTAGACCTATGTTTCGACCTGAAGTCCCCAGCTACGGTAGCTGCGTGTAAGGCTTGCGGCGCTAAACAGGCGGCTACTTGCCTTACTTGGGTGCTATCCTCTAGTGCTGGATCTACAGCGGCTACTGCATCAGTTGTGCGGGTACTTGACTTCGGGACTCCTCGCGTTTGCTTGCTGCTACAACCTTCGCGAGAATGTTTTCGTGGTACATGTACTTCAAATGTCTTTCTGCAGCGCTGCTCTTTGACTGCTTTTCTTGTTCCCACCAGAGATCGTACACCATTGTTACAGTGTTTTGAATCCCTCTCATCTACTCTGGCTCTCTTCTGCTTGCTCGTGCTTTGCAGTCTATCCCAGTTTGTACGTACTGGTTTGACAGAACCAAATGATTGGTGTCCCACGTTAGCCGAGGGATGCTGCCTACTCGGGCGACCCTAGTTCTTCGTAACCGTGTACCCTTCGTTCTTAGCGGCTTATTCGTTCTTGCACTCCGCGCGGGTGTTCGTAAAGCGAATGTTACTGAAACGACAACCAATAAAGTCACATTCCTTCTTATGGTTCGCGGCGTCGGGCTTGGCAGTACCAGCGAAGGATACTTTCGCCTTCGCCCGCGCGGGAGGACCTCGGGATTTGGAATTATCCTTATCACGTTTGTCGGTCCCCCGCTGAGCACGACCACCGCGTTGCACGCCGTATGCTCCACCACTGGACACGAACGCTTCCTGACCTGAAATATAGTTTTCAATAGCAGTGATGCGGTCCTTGTTGTCGTCCGCAGTACTTTGGAGCTGCCCGGGGCGAGCAGAGCTGTATACGGTAGAGGCGGTAGCCGAGATGAGGGCAGGGACTCGTGTCTACGAGCACGCGCTTTCGATTCCATGAAAGAATCGGATGGATCTGCCCGCATCATCTCTACGCGAATGTGGGGGTATACACCGTTTTCGAAAGATGCAGTGAGTGCTTGGTCGAAAGCGTGTTCATGAGGTGGTACATTCAGCGGAGCTGCGCGTTCAGCTTCGGCTAGAAGTCTGGCATACGCGCGTGATACTCTGAGCGCAAACACGTCAACTGATTCGCTAGTCTTCGCTTCTAATGTCTTGACATCACGTGCAAGAAGAGCAATTCGGTTGGCGGGAGCGAACGATGTGGTGAAAGCTGTGACCCATTCCTTTCATGTTTTCGGGGGTGTGATCCGGACCACTTCCTCACGTGCACGCAACGCATTTACCTGAGCTGGCGGTCGCTATTCGAGAGATGAGCTAAGCATGAGGCTGAGACTTTGAGGGGCGGCACCTCGCACGAAGAGCGCGAGATGTTTGATTGCGCGGTGATCGATTGTGCTTCGAGAGACGTTGTCTGCAGACAACAGACCGATGTGTGCCCTGTAAAGTGCCATTTTTTCGGGAACATCTTCGTGAGGCAGACCCTCGAGCTTGAGATCAGGAGGTAGGTCAGTAGCTTTCAAAGTAAATCGCGCCGTGCTAATCACGTCCTGGTTTACCGTGGTTTGGGTTACCGGAGTAGGGTTGTCCTGGTTTACCGTTTGCTGGTTTACCTGGTTCGGTGAGGCCTGGTTTACCATGTTGTGGTGTACCGGGTTGTTAATAGGTGAAATTGTCGGTGTAGACATATTTCTAGCAGGGGTCTGTTGAACACTTGCTGTCGTGTGCATGCCAGAGCGATTTTCTGCTCCTAAATCGGGGGCAAGCGAACGCGGATTCACCTTTTGGATGTCTTCCTGGTGAGCGGCTCCCGGCAAAAGCATGCTAAGGACCCATGCCGGCGTGGCCTTCTCCGCCTCCACTGCCTTTGAGACCGTGCTGACGAAAACGGCCTCCAGCGGCCCGCCGCCTGCCAGGAGCGGTGAACTCTGCTGACTGGCGGCGTCGGCGCGGTTCTGCAGGATATCGTGTGCAAGGTCGTCGTCGACGTTGTCGTCATCGTCATCGTCGTCGTCAGGGGGTGGGTCGGTGTC